ATAGGCTCAGACTGGAGCCCAGGATGGCCTCATCCTAAAGCCTGCTCTGTACACCCACCCCGCTCCCCATCCCTGTGGGGTCCCTGGGAAACCCCAACCTTGCCCCTTGAACTTGCTGAGTCTTCCTCTTAATTATTGGGCTGCCAGGGGGAAATGAAACACCTGCTACGTTCTTCCTTTTCTCAGCAAGGTGGCTCCCCCAAGATCCCTCTGCCCCAGCAGGGCGCCGGCAGTCCTGAGGCTGCCTTGGGCAAGCAGGCTTTGTACAATGGTTCACACGTGCAGATCCTCTAAAGTAAACGTGGCCACTGCCCGCTGGGGGTCACACTCCCAGGGTAGTGCTAGGGGATCTACGTCCAGGCCCCCGACGAGGTGGGGTTTAAGAGAAAATGTTTCCAGCCTCCATAAGCTGGTAGCCTTCCACCCCTGCAGGAAGTGGTCACAGTAGTGTGTGTGTATGTCTGTGTGTGTGTGTCTGTGTGTGTGCACACATGTGCACGTGCACTCAGAGAGGGAAGAGAGCGCAGACAGAGTTGAGACTTGGAGATGGAGAGGCAGAGGGGAAGCCCGGCACTCAGGACCCGAGACAGAGAGAGGGGGCTTAGTCCAGCCACAGAGCCAGCTGGTAGCCGTGAAGTCCAAAACTGAATCCAGATCCCTGGACCTTTTATCCTTATATCCTCTGAGGTTGCAGAAAAAGTACCAATTTGCCTGATTGGAGCCTGGCCTGAAGTCCCCTCTGAGCACCCCATCCCTGACAAAATAGGGGACACACAGGCAAGTGGCACCATTGATCTGTGTGGTCTGCAGGGCAGCTGAAGCGCGTGTGAGTGGCTGTGTGGCCTCCTTCACCGCCACGCTCCGACACACCCCACGCACCCTGAGATCGGCGTTCACAAGGGGCGAGACCACCTGCCCTCCGCCCCCAGTGTCCTTGTCTCATCGGGGCCTTCTTAAGCCCCGACCCCTTTATTTTGCCGACATTTAGCTCTGGAGGCTACAGACTGGGCTGTATTTACATTTTTAAATGAGGAGGTCTGCTCCTCAAATATTCAGGCCACCGTTTCCATTTCTAAAAGGACGGTAAGGAGTACTCTCGACCCAAAGCGGAGCCAACGACACCCAGGTGTTTGCTCAGCGTTGGTGCTGGGAGCCACGAAACTGTGGATGAGCAAAAGGCGTGGCTTCCAAATAAACAACAAAAGCTTCCACTTCTAGAGCTTTCCGTGGAGCACAGTCCCATCCACGTTCACAGGACCTGCAAGATCGCACGTTTGTTGAGGCTTAGAGGGGCCGAGGCCACAGAGGTAGCGAGTCGGGGAGACAGTTCCACCCAGCCATTCTGATGCCTCTGGCCACTCTGCAAGCTGCCTCTGCAGAGAAGCCCCGGAGGCCGGCGGGTGGCAAGTAACTTGCTCGACGTCATTTGGTTAGTTAGCAGCAGGGCAAGTTCCAGACCCTGAGCCCCCAGTTCCCACTGCAACACTCCTTTCTAGTGGGTTTCCTAATTCTGGAGAGCTCCGTGGTTTGCCCCACAAACTTCGGGACATCTTGGACACCCTCTAAGCCCAGATGCTGGAACTACCTGCCTGGGTTCAAATGCTAGTCTAATAGCTGTATGACTCAGGGCAAGTTAATTGACTTCTCTGGGCCTCGGTTTCCTCATCTGTAAAATGAGCATACTAATTGTACCCACTTCATAGATTATTGTGAATTAAAGGTTAATAGATAGGAAGCATTTAGAATGGTGCCTGACACACAGTAAGCACTCTGTAAGTGTTAACTCTGATCATCACCACCATAGCCACCCTGCGCCCGTCCCCAGGGATGCAGAAGCCATGACTGGCTCAGATCCACCCAAACTGCCCACCAGACTCCCTGCCCCTTCTAACTGCTATTGGGCCTCAGCAGAGAAGAGAAGAGGCCTTCCAGGCACAGCAGACTAATCCAAGGGCACATCCTCGGCTTGTAATGTGCTCTGCATGGGTCATCAGTCATCCACTAGAGCCTCAGAGAGGGGCCAAGCCTGCAGCAGGCAGGCTGCCCAGGGCTGCCCAGACACTACTGGCCCATTAGATGAACAAGGTGGGGCTTTCTGCCCCATTCTACAGATGGAGAAACAAAGGCCTGGAGAAGTTTTATTTTTTATTATTAGTTATTATTTTGTCAGAAGGAAATAGAAATTCTCTCCTGGGGCCCTGTAAGGTCCAAATACTTGCTTATCCCTGCGGCTTCCTGGTGGGATTGCCAGCATCCTTCCTGGCCTGTAAGTCACCGATGTTTGGTGGCGCTGGTGAACAGGCTTCTGTGGAAGGATGAAGCACTCCCTTTGTCTGAGCCCGGTTCCTGTGTCTGTCTAAGCCCAGCCCTTTCCCTACCCCCACCCCTGCCCACACCTTTCTTGAGGGCTCCTAGGAGCAGCTGGGATGATATTTTATGGGGAGGAAAGAAAACAGGTCTCTCTGACTCCTGCCTGTTCGTCTACTCAGGCCCCGGCCCCGGATCTTCCTTTTGATTCATTTCCTCTCAGGATCTTCTCAAGCCAGGCAGGACTCTCAGTCATGGTCTCTCTGCTTTTCCATTGTTTTTCCTCCTTAACTCGAGCTCCAAATAGCTGTCGTCATTCCGGTTATGGCAAGGGGTTGTGGCCTCCCTAATTCGGGCCAGGTGACTAGAATGAATTGCAGTTGCCCTGGGAAGACCCAGTGTCTCTAATATTTACTACCAAGCAAATGTAAGTGGGGCAGTGCGCCCTGTGGGCGTAAGGCTCGGGGCGTGGCTTGGTTCTGCTCTGGGGACAGTTCCTGGTCCCTGGGGAGTCGAGGGAGCCTGCCATGGGGTGGAGGATGCTCTGAGAAGGAGAGGACAGCCTCACCAGTCTGCTCTCAGCACGGGAAAACTCCTTTCTGGGGAGGGAGGATGCGGTCGCCTCTGCGTGGGGCAACTCCGGGATCACCCAACTCTGAGACGCCCCCATCCCCCATGCTGCACCAGGGCATCACTCAGGCAGGAGGGATGTGAGCCAGGGCCAGTGCCGTCCCCTCGCTGAACAATGACAGGCTGAGATCCAAGGAGGCTCACTGCAGACAGGAGAAGACAAAGTGAAATCCATGGGACATTGATAGCACCTGGTGTAGTTCAAAGAGCCGTGAAATCAGCAGCACATACCTGGGTTGAAGCCCAGCTCCAATGGGAGCTGTGTCATCTCAGGCAATCTCCTTAACTTCTCTGGGCCCTACTCCCCATAAAATACTACATAGTCATCTCTGCTCTGCTTGCCTTGCTGGATGGCTATGGGGGTCAAGCAAGAGCATAGAAACAGGAGGGCTCTGGGAGCTGTAAGCAGAGTACCGATGTCAGGAGTTGCACTGTGATTAATGTAAAGCAGGAGGGAATTTGGTTAGATGCCAGGAAGAACTTCCCTACTTTAGGAGGAGACATCAGAATGAGGCTATGGGGATCGTCCTCCTTCCTGAAGATCTTTAAGAATAAGATCAGATCAGTGCGGCCGTTTCAAATAGTCTTGAGGTTGGCAGAGGCATTGGCCAAATGACTTTTGATGTCTTTTCTATCTCTCTCCTGACACTGTAGTCAGTTCCATCAGGCAGAAAGCGACCGGAGGCCACATCTGCGTGTGTGTGTGTGTGTGCCTGTGTAAGTACCTATGTGTGTACCTATATCTGCCTGGATGTCTGTACGAGTGTCTGTGTACTATATGTTTGTCTATGCATGTGTCTGTGTGTCTGCAAGGCTGTGTCTACATCGTTGTCCATGTGCCCACGTCTTGTGTGTAGAGCAAGTGGCTGAAGCCAAGAAAGCTCAAGGCGACTCATCTTTATTACTCAGCAGTTGGAAGGATTTCCTTTTGCCGCCCTATCCATCTTGGGAGGATGAGGACAAAGCACCAGGGTGAAAAAGGATTTTAAATTGGATCTTTATTTATTTGTTGTTGTTTTTGTTATACAACTTTCTAAATTTGGGCTAAGAACTAGATGAAGAATACCCGCTCTGGAGTGTCCTGCTGAGGCTGGAATACAGGCTTCCCCACTTCCCTGTGATCTTGGCGTCTGACTTCCCTTCTCGAGGCCTCAGTTTCCACATCTGTAAAATGGGGGCGCCTCCCTCACAGGGTAGTGGCGAAGATTAAGTGAATTAGAGCCTGTAAAGCCCTTAGCACAGTGCCTGATCCTTAGAAAGGACTTCATACATGCCCGCTGTTACAAGTATTAGCTAGCAGCGATGTTTCTGGCCTGGCTCCTGATAGATGTAGCTAAAAGAGCACTGGCTGTGGAGCCACCCGGCCTTGGGTTCAAGTTTGCCGCTCAGCAGCTGTGTGGCCTTGGGCAAGTCGCTTCACCTCTCTGATCCCGGTTTTCAGCTGTAAATTGGGAACAATAGTATGCCTCCTCATAGGATTATAGTGAGGCTCAAAGGAGAGAATGTAAGACCTTAGCATAGTGTCCGCCGCACTGTAGGCACTTAAGAGAAATAGTCCACCTGCAACAGAGATTCCCCTGGACCCTCTCCCCTCCCAATACCCCCGCAGTGGAATTCCGTGTCTCACCCACTGCCTGGGCTCCTGTTTTTATCCTTTCAGACACTAAGCACAGCAACAGAAGCCAGGAGCCCTAGGCACCCTTCTCTGATGGGGCTCATGGGGGAGGGGCTGCTCTGGCAGGAGCTGCCCAGGCTCCCCGCCCCCTTACCCCGGTTCAAACCTGTGCCCTTTCCCGCCCAGTTCCCAGGGCCCCTTAATACCCGCGAAGCCATTAAATATTTAAATTGCGCTGTGTGGCAGCCAGGTTGCCCCAGCAACAGCCCTGCATATTTTGGGATGGATTACCAAGTCTTTCAAAGGGTCTCCTGCTGCTCCAGCCCTAAGAAGGATGAACCGTGGGAAGCAAGAGCGAATGGGAGGGAGGGCTGGGGGCTTCTGCTTCCCAACCGGGGCTTATAGATGCAGTCACCGTGGGAAACAGCCAGAGGTCTCGAGGGTCAGAGAAAGGGCAGGCTTCTCCCCAGTTTTCAAGAGTCTGGACTCGAATCCAGGACTCGTGCCTGCCAGCCTGTTCTCTTCACCTGCTTCCGTCTTGTGGACCTGTTGTCTGGATGGGGGTCTGAACCCCAGTTCTGCTCTCAGCAGCTGGGCCACTGTGGGAAACTTGCTCACCTTCCCTGGGCCCCCGTGTACTCCCGGGTAACTTGGGGATAATTCACCCATTTCAGGTGATGTTGGAACAGTGCTCAGCACGGCTCCTGGCCCACGCAAAGCAGTAGCAGTTATTATATTGATAATATTCCATCCAGTATCCCCTGTGTTCCCTGAGGGGACTCAGAGGAAGTGGGAGACACAGCCCTGGCCACCAAAGGCTTATGTCTGGTGGAGAAGGTCTGCCAGCAATGGTAAGTGCTGAGAATACATCCAGTGTTCCCTGGCCCTGTCCCCTCCAATCCCGGTGCGAGTATACAGTGGCTGCGGCCGCTGACTCCACACTCACCTTTCCCAGGGGCCTGGCGTCGCCTGGGATGCGTTTTGAGGCCGGCCCTCAGGCGTGGCAGGGGGCACCCAGGCTAGGAGTCTGGAGAGTGCCGTCCAGCCCTGACTCTGCTGTGTGTCCTTGGCTCTGCTGCAAGTCCCTTCCCCTCTGGACGCCAGTCTCCTTGGCTGCAGGATGAGGGTGACTCTGAGTCACTTTCTCGGGCAGCCTCCCTTTCCGGCCAGCACAGATGCACCAGCAAACCATAAGGCTGGCCTGTTCCCCCCTCCACTTCATCCTGTGAGTGCCCCCTTAGGAAGTAAGCCCGAGGGGATGAAGCCAGTCCTGCAAGTTTCTTCTGATCTCCACCTGGACTCTGCTCTTCAGTTCGCAAAGCACCTCCTCTCCTATATTTCATTCCATCTCAAACCCCTGGGGGAAACAGAAAAGACTGCTGCCTCTCTCCCCAGCCCCAGGCTCTCTCCAGAGGCAGGAGGATTTCCAGGGAATTAAAATCTCCACTGCAGACAATCCAGACACGTGCTGGCTGGTCCCAGCAGGAGGCCAGTGGTGTGGAATCATCGTTCAGTTTTCTTCCCTTGGAGGGAAGGCAGAAGATGGGGAGGCTGGGCGGAGGCCCTGAGCCACGTGCTGGAGGCTGGGTCACGTCGGAGAACCTGGGCTCTGGCTGCCCGGGGTGATGGGGGAGGGACGCTGGGCATCTGACTGGCAGACAGCCATTGGCTGGTTCCATGATTACCCTCCTAGATTTGGGGAGCATGATTTTCAGCCTGCTTGGAGCCCTGGCCTTCCAGATAGACCTCAGGGGGGTTCTCACCTGAGGTCTTTGAACCTGACAGTGTAGACTCCCCCCCCACCCCCCAGGGATGGATCAGAAGGAAAGACCGACCGGTAGGCCTCTCCTTGAGCCCACAGAATCCAAATCTCAGGGCTGGAACCTGGAAGTTCGAGGGCTGAACAGACTCCCCAGGGGCTTCTCAGACTGGCTGGCTCCCTGGCCTCCACTTCCACCCAAGCTGCCTATGCCTGCCCTGGGCAGGAAGGTGGCCACGTGTGGCTATGGTCAGTTTAGGGTTCTGACACCCCTCCTCTTCCCTGCCCCTATGGTCCCCTTTGCTCCTGCTGTAAACTTTCTGCCCCTCTGCTGGGGGTGGGGGCTGAGGGGAAAGGGCATCCTCTTTCCCTTTCAGGGAGGGAGGGATGGAGATTGTGAGTGACAAACTGGATTGATGAGCCGCAAGTGGGGTGGGGTGTTACTGTCAGGGATGAGCTATGTCTAAGGCAGGAGTGCCTATCCCAGGGTCCGCGGATGACATGGAACTTGAGGAATTGGTGAACTTGGGGGAGAAGATTATATCTTTGCTTTCACTAACATCTAACTGAAATTGAGCATTTCCTCCAACTATGATCACAGGCAACAAGCCATAGCTCCATTAGCTGTACTTGTAATGTTGCCATCAATATATAGAAGCAGATACTTTCATAGCACCCCAAAACTGTTGCAGATTTCAATAGTTATCGAACCCATCACTGGATCTTGAATTTAATAGGTTGATAAAGAAGTATTTGCATTTTACAAATGTTTTTTAAATATTCTTGTAACCATATTTTAATATAATTGGTTTAATCCTATGTCTTTTATTTTATGTAGGGTTGGGGGAAAAGTGAGAGAACCTTGCTAAGAGCTCAGCTCTGGGATCAGGCCAGGGGACCCCTGCAGCCTGGCTGAGTGACCTGAGGCAGGCCGCTCATCGTCTCCGAGCCTGATTCAATCACAGGTCAGCGGGGAGCAGACCCACCTCCTGGGATTCTTGTGAGGTTCTGTATGCCGTTAGTTCAAGGTCAGGTATACAGTAAGAGCTAACTAGCTGCAGGCTCTGGTTAGCATAAAGACTAACAAAAGCTTCCAGGAGGCCCCCTGGAGAATAATGAGACAGACTCAGCCAGGTGAAGCAGAGGTGTTGCCTGAAGTCACCGCTTCCTGTGCCAGGCTGGGCGGAGAACCCACGTCGGGGAGAGGGCTGCCTGGAGGCTGGGGACACAGTGACATTTCCTAGCATGGGAGGAGCTGCAGACACAGTCTACTGGCAGATCCCCCAGACCCAGGTCCCCCGGGGCTGTGGGTTCCCCCCAAAGGCCAAGGGTGCTCACTAAATGGGGAATGAATGAAAGAACATAAAAAGGAAGTGTTTTCTGATATAAATTGCCACAGAATAACGGTTGGCTGGGAGGGAACTTGTTCTTTGCTGATCCAGAGAGGCCGTGGGGTGGACACTCTCTGGATCCCATGGAAGCAGCCAGGTTGCCCACCAGCTTTTGGTGGAAGGTGCAGAGCCTTCCCAGAGGCCTTTGCAAATGGACCATCTCAGTGCAAAGGCAGGAGGATGGAGCCATGGACCCATCCCAGGAAGTGTCGGGGATGAGCGCCTTCTGTGGCTTGAGTCCAGTCCAGGTCCATGGGGCAGGGGGCAAGGATTGTGGCAAGGGTCACTCTGGGGACCAGCAGCCCAGAGTCCCCGGGCCACACCTCTGGAGGATGGCCAGGGCAGAAGGATGGGAACCCTGCTTTGTCCCAGCAATTTCTCCAACCTTGGGCCAGGGATTTCATCTCTCTGAGCCTCAGTTTCCTCATGTATAAAACAAGAGTGCCTATCTCCTGGGGTGGTTGGGAGGATTCAATAAAATAATGTGTGTAAAATGCTTTCAGAAGTCAAAATAAATTAAGATGTTTGTCTTAGTGGGCTGCCTTGAGTGGTGGGAAGAGCAGTGGGCTTAAAATCAGGAGTTCCTGGTTCTGGCGCTGCTGTGTGACTTTGGGCCAGACCCTTCCACTCTCTGGCCCTCAGCATCCCCCAGTGTGGAAAAAAGAGAGTTGGAGTCAGCCCTCACTAAGGCTTCCTTCTTTGAAGATTCTCTGATGGCAGAGGAGAGGGCTTGCAGCAGGAACATGCAGTGCCCAGACCTGGTTCTGCTCACAGACTACAGACCGTGCTTTCCCAGACGCTGCAGCCACTCTGCTTCCAGTGTGGAGGCCGGGGAAGGCTGTCACTTAGGATCCGCTACATCCACCACAGGCTCTGCCCCCAGGAGCCTAATTAGATGTTATCCCCCATCAGCTGTGTCCATGTCCCCGTGTCCGTGCTATCACCAGGCGCGCCAGGATTTCGGGCCAATTGCTTGTTTATGAGACCGTGTATCTTGGGATGAGGCCCAGCAGGCACCGCCAGCTAGCAAATAAGTTCTCCCCCTGCCCCGCTCAGCTCGGAACCTGATGACAAGAATCATCGTTCTTCTGACAAGCCTCAGCGCCAAGTCCTGATGAAGGAACACTTGCGTCTTCGAGTCAGGCAAACCTGGGTCAGTTCTGGCTCTGGGGCCTTCCTAGCCCCTTGGAGACTTAGTTTCCTCTTCTGTAAAAGGGAACGATGGGTATTTACCTACTGATAATTTGCAGATCTCTTTGGAGGATCATTATAGGTAAATGCTCATAACACAATGGCTTGCAGTATTCACTGAGGCTCAGTAAATGTCGGTCCCCGCCCTGTCCTCCACACACAGGCCCCCCAGCTTCTAGGCTCCCCCTGCAGCCCCACCAGGCAGTCAGCGCTTGTTTCCCTTCCTGCCCAGCATGCCCTTGGTTGAGGGGTCTGCTCACACTCCTCTCTGAGCACCGGGTTATTAATTCTCAGTAGGCTCTAGTGAGTCCTTGAGGGAGGGAAGCCGCTGGTCTCCGTGCCTTGGACCCAGCCCAGTGCTGGCACTAGCAGGTGCCTGGCGTGCACAGGAAGGAAGGAACTGGACGTACAGCCGCTCAAGTGCTTTTTCCTACACCATCTCTCCATCCACGCAGTGACCCTGGGAGTTAGATCTGAGGATGCCCATCTCACAGATGGAGAGATGGAGGCGCAGGTGGTGAGGAAGCTGGCCCTCGTCTCACAGCTTGTTGGGGGCAGAGCCGGTACTGGTTGGGACCCAGGTGAGGCCGCTCCCCTGGGACCCCCTGAGGCTCTTCCCTGCACCACAGCGCCCTCACCTGGCCAGAGTGCAGACAGGACGTTTCTCGGCTCCCTCCAGCCCAGATCTACATTTGCTTCCTCCGATGGGGGCTTCTCCATCGCCCCTGTCCACCTGCCTTCTTTTCTCTCTCTCCAGAAAGCATGCCCGGGGCCTGGGGGCGGTGAAAGTAAAAGGAGTGATTTATGAACTGAGCTGTTCTTCTTAATCAGAGAACCCCTCCTGGGCCTGCTCTATGCAGATGGGACTGAGCCGCCATCTGGGGCAGTGGGATTGACAAGATTAATAAAGCTGTCTGGCCCAGGCAGGGGCCTGCAGAGGACAATGCAGCAGTGCTGCGTGACCTCACACCGTCTCTGCTCCTCTCTGGGCCTCAGGACTCCCATCTGTCAAGGGATGGCAGGATGGGGTCATCCCCCAAAGGCCTCCAGCTGGCATGGGGGAGGATGCTAGCCAGCTCGCTGGGACACTGCCTGGTCGCCTGATTCAGGGCAGAGCAGCACTGGGTTGGAAACTTTGGAGACTGGGGCATAGCACCCCCTCTTTCTGGCGTCCTCTCTCTTGTGCCATGTCCATGGATCAATGTCTTATCAGGTGCTCTGGTTTGGAGTCTAGCAGACTTAGGCCTGATTCATGGCCAGGTGGTCTTACTAACCATATGAATGAATCCAGGCCAGTTAATTATATTCACTGAGCCTCAGTCTCCTCATCTGTAAAATGGGATAATAATGATACCTACCTCCTAGGTGAAGCTCAAATAAGAGGATGCAGGAGAAATGCTTAGCAGAGTCTGGTGCATGGTAAATGCTCACTACTACTAGTTATGATTAGGCTCAATTATCACAAAATTGGAGCAACTAATTTGACTTTGGGGCCATTTAAAGGAAAGATATTTATATCCATCCTGACCAAGCCAGATGTCCATGGTCTGCCCCACGCCCGCCTCCACTGATAACCAGTGAACATGGTTTGGGCATCCACCTATTTTCAATATATGAGGATGCGGATAATAATAGCTCCCCACGGGAACAGTGTTTCCAAGTGTTTCCCAAGAGTTTTCACATCATATCACTTCATTTCATGAATTCTTACAACCACCTTTGGCTTCAAAACTGAGAATCACAGTTTTCATAGGAGCACCTAGCGTCTCAGGGAGAGTGGTGATTTTCTGAAGGTCTCCAGGGTGCTGGCCAAGGCAGGTGCCGTCCCAGACTGTGCAGAAGCAGTGCTGATGGCTGAGCAGGCAGGCATCTCCCAGGCCATCCTTTCCCAGCTTCCCCTTAGTGTAGATCTTCACTGGGTGAGAAAACAATCAGGGAGGGGGCATCCTGGTGAAGCGGAGGTGAAGAGACGCTGGAGATTCACACGGAGCTCAGCACCTCCTCCCCGCCCCCGGGTGAGTCTTCTGCATCACCCAGGCCTCTCATCCCAGCCTCAGTGTCCAGAGGAAGGTGGTTTGTGTCACACTCAAGATGACCACCAGCCTGAGATGCTGGGCAGAGGATGGTCCTTTTGGGGCACCAGGGCTGGGACGGGGCAGGGGAAGAACGGGGGTAAGAGAAAACTATGACCCCCTCCCTGCTTCCCTGAGCCCTGGGGCTGGGTGTGGGGTGCATCTCCTGAACTAGACATTGGGGCTTCCATTCCTTAGGCCACAGAAACCCGAGCTCTAGGAAGGACCCTGAGTTGGCTTCATCTTGCCCTGTGAGCCATCCCTGGATAGAGTTCCAGCCCAGAGCTCCTTGGGCCTTGCCTAGACCCCGGGGGCTTCTCCCCCAAGATGTCCACCCAGGTGGCAGTGTCCTGCCTGGTAGTGACAGTGTCCTCCCTTCTCCACACCCCCGGGGTCAATTTCAGGGGATCTGTCACTGTTCAGATGCAGCTGGGCTTCTGCCCTCTTCCCCACTCCTGGCCCCCAGCACAGTTTTTCTAACGTCTCGCCTGGAGTTTTAGAAAGAGCCTCGGATCTCAAGAGGATGCAGCCGCTTTGCCACAGTTAAGCCTCAGTTTCCTTCCATAAAATGGGGCAATAGTCCACCCTGCAGATCTGTCTTGAGGATTCACCATAATCATGTGAGTGAGTGCAGCCCTTTCCACGAAAGCTGGCTTTGATTCTGACTGCTGGGTGTGGATTCGTGGTCCATCACTTACTAGCTGTGTGATGATGGACAAGTCACTTCCTTCTCCAGGTCTCGGTTTCCCCATTGTAAAATGGAGGTGATGGTATGATATCTACTTCCTAGGGTTGTTCTTGGCATTTAATGAGCTCGTGCATGTAAGCATGTAGCCCAAAGCCATACAGCAGATACCGAGGCAGGCAGCTGAAGACTTGCCACGTGTGTCTGTTTAGGCTAAACGGGAGTGGGGTACCAGTTCCTGGAGCCTCAGAGAGCTCTCAGGAGGGCCTTCTCCTGCCTTTCCCCACCTCTGCCCATCCCCACATCTACACTCCCTCAAAACTTACTCCCCTGCACTGTCCCCTTCCCGGTGAAAACTCCCTAACTGCCCCCAGTGAAGTTACACCAGTGGAGTTACACCAGTGGACTTACACCAGTGGAGAGTTTGTCCTCCTTCCTGTGGGCCCCCAGCCCTATTATCATCCCTTCCCTTGCCTCCCCCAATCTCCTACCCCCACTGCCACCCAAGTGTTGAGTTCGTGCTTGTTTGTATCTCCACTTCCTAACACAGCACCCAGCGCAAAGTAGGAGTTGCTGAGCAGATGGGTGGATGGATGGATGGAGGGATGGAGGGAAGGATGGAGGGATAGAGGGAGGGAGGGAGAGGACTCTTTCACCTACCGCCCCTCATCCCCACCACTGATGATAATGGGAAGAAATCTGAACAGGTACCCAAGACGCAGAAATTCCCCCTTCCTGCCCATGGGAAGGCCCACTGCAGCCCAAGCTCCCCCAGACCTCAGGTTTTCCCTGGAAATGTCCTCTAGCCCAGTGTTTGAGCAGCAGCCGGCTATGGAATTCCCCACACATGTGACAGAACAGGCGTCTCCATCTGGGCCCGTTTGACTGCTGAAATCACACCCCCATTCCCACTGCTGGGAGCTGGCAGTGGAAAGGAGGAAAGGAGCCTTCTGGCAAATCCTTATGCAAAGCCTGAGGCACACTTTCCAGCATCAAATTTCTCTCCCCTGGGAGTCAGAGTTTCTGGGGCGGGTGTTTGATTTACGGCGCTCTGCCAGCACTCTCTCTGCTGCGGCATCAGTGCAGACGCCCAGGTGGCATCCAGGGGGCATCCAGTTGTATGGGCCACCACACCCACCCTCTTCTCCCCGTTCATCAGCCACATGCAGTAGCGTGTCAGCATAGCTGAAGCCCATGCCAGAAACCCCAAGTCTCTTGAAGATGTGGTTCCCCATGCGGCCCCAGCAAGGGCACCCGGGAGCTGCCATCTGGGCAGAAGGCGGGCATGGAGTGCGGGCCTCCCCAGCTGGAGTGCCCCAGGTGCTGAGAGCTTTTCATTAGCGCTAACGGGCCCAGATCAGCAAGGCACTGGCCCAGAACGTGCGTGTCCGAAGGGGGGTTGGGTGTTCATAAGCAGCTTCTTTTTTTTTTTTAGCGGTACGCGGGCCTCTCACCGTTGCAGCCTCTCCCACCGCGGAGCACAGGCTCCGGACGCGCAGGCTCAGCGGCCATGGCTCACGGGCCCAGCTGCTCCGCTGCATGAGGGATCTTCCCTGACCGGGACACGAACCCGCGTCCCCTGCATCGGCAGGCAGACTCTCAACCACTGCGCCACCAGGGAAGCCCCATAAGCAGCTTCTTGAATGGGGCTGCTCCTTATAGCCTTTCTAGAATAATTGAATATTCTCTCTTACAGGACAAGCTGGGCCAATAACAGAAATATACAGGAAACCCTCTGAACAAGAGACTGTCCCGCTGACATCAGAACTGCCCAGGTGACAAGTCAGCAATTGCTCCCCCCTTCCCCGTCCCTGTGCACCCCTGTGCCATCCCCTGATACCATCCTGTCTCCCCAGCAGACCTTTCTCAGTCTGTCTGTCTGTCCCTTCCCGTATCTCTTCTTCTGTCTCTTTCCCTGTCTCTCTCCTTCAGTCTTTCTCCATCTTTCCGACTTTGTCTGTTTCTCTGATTTGCTGAGTCTCTACTGTTCTGTGTCTGTTTTCTCTTTTCCCACTCTTCCTGCGTTTATTCATTCATTCAGACATAGGAATTGAGGACCCACATGTGCCAGGCACTGCTCTAGACACTAAGAATACGGCAGTGAACAAAGCAAGTCCATGCCTTTCTTTTTTTTTCTTTTTTTTTTTTTGCGGTACACGGGCCTCCCACTGTTGCGGCCTCTCCCGTTGCGGAGCACAGGCTCCGGACGCGCAGGCTCGGCGGCCATGGCTCACGGGCCCAGCCGCTCCACGGCACGTGGGATCTTCGCGGACGGGGCACGAACCCGTGTCCCCTGCATCGGCAGGCGGACTCTCAACCACTGCGCCACCAGGGAAGCCCAAGTCCATGCCTTTCTAAGCATACATTCTAACAAGGGAAGGTGTGTGCTACCAAAATAAATAAGTAAAATATAGAGTGTGGAGAGTAGCTACCGGGCAATGGCCTGGGCTTCAAGAAACAGGGCTCCAGGGCTTCCCTGGTGGCGCAGTGGTTGAGAGTCTGCCTGCCGATGCAGGGGACGCGGGTTTGCGCCCCGGTCCAGGAAGATCCCACATGCCGCAGAGCGGCTGGGCCCGTGAACCATGGCCGCTGAGCCTGCGCGTCCGGAGCCTGTGCTCCGCAACGGGAGAGGCCACAACAGTGAGAGGCCTGCATACCGCAAAAAAAAAAAAAAAAAAAAAAAAAGAAACACGTCTCCAGGCCCAGATCCCTAATTGGTTTTGTAACTTGGCCACTCTCCCCTTCCCTTTCACAGCCTTGGTTTTCCCATTTCCATGGTGAGGGTGTTGGGCCAGATCAGTGCTGCTCTACCTTTTCATGGCCAAGAACTTCTTTTATTGAAATGCTGGTGACATAAGTTATACAAGGGCTGGATTCTAAATCAGTGCTTACACAAACAGTAGTGTCACGTAAAAGTTCCCCTTAAAGCCCTTAAACACCTGGCTTTGTTATACATGAAACAGTCAGTGGCATCCGGGGGTCACGTTGAATGATAAAGCAGCCATCTGTAAGCACCAACCCTCAGAGGGCGGGGCGGGGGTGGGGGGGTTACTGTGAAGGGCACAGGTGTCTCGAGACCATGAGAGCCATGACAGCAAGTCCACGGCTCCCACCCAGGATCACCCTGGGGCAGGCGCCCACATGGAAGGGCAGCTGGACCCACAGCACCTGAACTGCTTTCCCAGCATGCTTTCCCTGCACCTGTGGGATTTGAATTCGCATGAGGGCAAGTTTGCCTGTGATGCTGACTCCTCCATTTCCTCTCTCTGGGCCTCAAGATTTAAAGGATTGGGGCTTCCCTGGTGGTGCAGTGGTTGGGAGTCCACCTGCCGATGCAGGGGACGCGGGTTCGTGCCCCAGTCCGGGAAGATCCCACATGCCGCGGAGCGGCTGGGCCCTTGAGCCATGGCCACTGAGCCTGCGCGTCCGGAGCCTGTGCTCCGCAACGGGAGAGGCCACAACAGTGAGAGGCCCGCGTACTGCAGAAAAAAAAAAAAAAAGATTTAAAGGATTTTATCGGTCAAACAGCACTGCCTTTACCAAGTCATCATTTACGAAGTATACCTTTCTCCCTAGTTCATTTACTGCCGAGTCATACATACCTAGCAGTTAGAGCTTCTGAACAACATGACAAATAGGGTTCCCACCCTGGAGTGGTTTAATGGCTCCAAAACCCAAGACACTTGCCCCTTGAGCCAGGCGGTGCGGAGGGGATGATTTGTGAGGTGTTACTTGAAATCCTGAAAATGGCTTTAGGAGATTGCTAGCCTCGGGGAACCCAGTATGAAAACCACTGACCACACTCCTCCTCCCTGAGCAGAAATCCTCCGGATCAGAGTCCTTCCCTCTCAGGGTCTGAGAAAGCAGGGCAAGGAGGGGAGGGGAGGAACCGCTGTGTGTCAGGCCTGGCGTGAGAAGCCCTACATACGTTATTTATCATTTAATCCTCAGTCCTCTGATTTCCTGAGCAGCTCAGCATTCCTGGCCCCATTCTGCAGACACGAAAGCAAAGGCCCAGAGAGCTTACGCGATTTGTCCACTGGCCCCGGGGCTAGAAGGAGGTGGAGCCAGGACCCGTGTGACCCTGCAGCCCCACTGTCACTGCCACCCTCCGCTCCGGGACCCTGTGGGCCCCGTGGAATGGGGAAACCTCAGTGGGCCTTTCACCCCTGGCCCCAGGGAGGGCATGGCCTTTCCATTTAGCAGAGATCCGCCCCCTCCGTCTCCTTCATAAGTGCCTTTCGAACATCTTTTTTGAGGAACAGCCAAGCCTTTGTACCTCCATGGTCTGCAGTTTCTTCTCAATCCGCCTTGCAGAGACTATGTTCTACTCTCCTTATAAGTAAATCAGGGCACTGCGTGGTGATGGGCTTAGCGTCCAAAAGGCTCCGTGGGTAGGTGGAGCCAACACCCAGATCCAGGCAGCGATTGGAGGTACCATGTGTCTGTCACTTTTGTCTGGCCAATTGGCCGTGGAGGTGTGTCCCCACATTCAGGAGCCCCTGTGGCTGGTGGAGCTGGCAGTAGTTGGTCTTTTGATTTTAGCCGGGCCGTGGGCGATGACGCAGGAGGCCGTCTCTCTGGCCACTGGGAAATAAAATGGCATAAGAGGTGTGAAGACGAGCCTGAATTTTGGAGGAAAATGGATGAATGGGGCGAGGGAATTAGCATTCATTGAAAATGATGATGTGGCTCCGGATTAAGACAGACATGGGTTCAAATCCTGGTTCAGGCACTTCTATGCTGTGTGACCTAAGACAAGTGATTCCATCTCTCTGAAGCTCAATTCCCTCGCCTGAACAAAGGGAAATGACATTACCTAAATCCGGGAGCCTTACGAGGATTCAATGAGACTGTGCATGTTCCTCCGCACATAGTAAGAACTCAGGGGCAGCCAGCTGCTACTCGCTGTTGCTGTTACCAGCTACCACACACCACGCTCTGTTCTCAGTACTTTCCATACACTATGAGAAAGGCATTATTTTTTTATACTAATTTTAAAGAAAAGAAACTCGGATGTATGCGGTTCAAGAACGTGCCCCAGGCCACCAGCTAAGCAACTGGGATGTGATCCTCTGTCAGGCTGCAAAGCCCTCTGTCCACTCTGCACCCTGCCCTGGAGCTGACGCCTGGGCTTCCCTATCTCCATCCACCCTCCAGCTCACATCATCTCTTTTTCTACTGCTTCACCTTTGAGGTTGTCAGAGGCTCTTCCCAGGAGACACATCCCCTTTTATTGCACTCGTCTGGGAGCCCAGCACTCCATAAGCCACCCATTAGATGTAATCTCTAATGAATGTGGTACATAATAAATACAGGTAGCCCGTTTATGAGCTGCCATATTTATTATGCCCCTTAAACGCCAGAGAGCCAGAGCCAGCTGAAGCCGGATCAGACCCTGGAGAACAGCTTTGCCTGGGTAGGCAGAGGAGGGGGCCCCAGAGCCTGGCCCCCCTGCAGACTTCTCAGCATCTCACTGGGGCTGCCCCTCCTGCCCGCTAAAAGCCCACCCAAGTCAGAGCCTGATGGCAGGAGCTGACAGCCCATCAAACTCCATCTCCATCCATTGCAGATGAAGACACTGAGGCCAGAGAGAGGAAGTGACTTGCGGAGCCTGGGGCTCCAGACTCCCAGTCCAGTGCTCCTTCTGCCCTGCTGTCTGCCTGAACAGTGGTCCCTGGACCAGGTGGAGCACAGGAGCTGAAGTGAGCTGAGGGGCATGCTTACAAGCTCCAGGATGTTGGGCACCTTCACCTCCCTGAGGCTCAGTGTCCTCATCTGTAAAATGGGCACAGTGCTTCCTGCCTCATGCGGTTGTTGAAAGATTCAGGACAGTCACTTCATGGAGCTGGAGCGTGGCTGGCAAAGAGTCGGTACTCAATGAATGTTCTTTCCTGTCCTTTTCCCCCTTTCCAAGGACGACAGGGTCTCAGCAGATGTGTGGAGTTTCATCAGCCAAGTGCCCAAGGGAGAGGGGGCCAGCACGCCGTGCCTAGGGTGCACGTCTTTGTCCTGGGGTCCTGACCTCATGGGCAATGATAGCCCAGTGAGTCACCTATGACTGTAAAGTTAGGTGTGTTCCTAGTAAGAGCTGTTCACTCCACTCTGAGCCAGGTGCCGTGGAGAGCCCTGACATAGGACGTCTCATTTAATCCTCGCAACACGCCAGGATGCAGGTCCTAAGTGCCCACTTTCAGATGAAGAAACTGCGGCCCAAGATGTTAAGTCACTTACCAAAGACACAGAGGTAGAGAGGTGTGACGAGCCAGGATTGGAGCCCAGGTATGTCTGGCTTCAGAGCCCATGCTTGGAACTGCCATGTTTAGATGCAGGTTAGTTGCTGCTTCTAGAAGGTCAGCGATGGAGGAGATGGTGGAGGGCTGGTGGCTTGGTGTGGGGACCTGTTCTGGAGGAAGAGAGCCTGGGCTTGGGCATGATGCAAGAGACAAGGATGACCCACCATCAAGGATAATGGTTTAACAACTGGTGGGCGTGGCATGGACCAAGAGATGCTAGCTAAGCAGGCCCGCCATACCCATGGGTCCCCACTGAGTCTCAGCCCTCCACTGGCTGCTGGGAGGATGGGCCCTGGAACAAGGGAAGGGGTAGGTCCTCCTGGGTCTGCCCCTCCTCTCCCCAGGGCTGTCAGGAAGAAAGTGTAGAAATATTGAACATTGTATATTGAATATGACCATGACTGTGCACCTTGAGGGATGACTTGCGATAGCAGATGCCGTCTGCTTCCGCCGGGCATGGGGGAGGGCTACATCTTGTTTTCAAGCCCCAGTGCCTGGCATCCAGTCGTCGCACAATAAATGTTTGTTGAATAGAATTGTATTCAGTGACCCGCTACCATGGGCATACTCTTAGGTAGGGACGGTGAGACTCCAGGGGGAGGTGGGATGCTCTAAGTCTCACGATAGAGGTAGTCAGGGCGGGGGAGCATCTGGGGGCTTGGGGCCCCAGGAGATGCCTGCAGCTCTTTCCCTGCAACACCCCTCCTCACTGGACAGGTCCTTCGAGTCGGAGGGTATGTGGGGTAATAGGTAGTTTGTCGGACCTGGGTTCTAATCCCGCTCTAGGACCTTAGCAAGTCCCTCAAGGCCCTGAGCCTTAGTGTCTCATCTACCAAATAGGAGGCTCATGTCTGCAGTCAAGTAACATCATGATGTCACACCTCTGAGCACCTGCCACACTGAGTACCTGCTAAGCATATTTCTGCGTTATTTCGGTTAATCCTCCCAACACTGCTGGGGAGGAAGCTTCTGTTTTTAATCTCCATTTTCAAGTTGGAGAGAGCAACAGTCAGAGAGGTGGAGTAATTTGCCCAAGACCACACAGCAAATGAACGGTAGAGACAGGGCTTGAACCCGGGCAGGCTAGCTCTCGAGTTCTCACTCCTAACTCTGGCCTCACAGGGCAAAGCACCGGCCCTGTGATAAGGAGGTTGTTATCAGCTGCCCTCTTCCCCCATCGGCTACAAGGGCAGGCTGGCCACTGGGACACCCCAAGGAGGAGGAGAGGAGGGAGGGGCAGGAGATCTTTTCGGATGGGCTCCCCCAGTGGGAAGGCTGAGAGGGCCTTGCTGTCTTGTAGGGGGAGCACCATGGAAGGCGACTGTCTGAGCTGCATGAAGTATCTGATGTTTGTGTTCAATTTCTTCATATTTGTAAGTATTCCTGGAACATTCCCGGGGTCTCCCCAGGCCTCTGCGGGGTGGGCAGGACTGACTGCAGCTTGAAAGTCACATGGGGCTGAGTCCCAGGAACAGGAACAGGGGCCAGTGCTAGAAGCAGCTCTACCTGCCCAGCTGGGGGCTCACGGCAGGGAGGCCCCCAGCAGTGCCCACCCCACTCCTAGCGCCCACCATCACAGGAGAGATGTTTTGCACAGCCCCTGGGATGATGCTTCAGCGACTCTGAAAAAGAAAAGATAGGGGCCTCAGTCCTGGCTACTATCTTGAAATCTGACCCCTGGTAGGGAGTTGGGGGGGGAGGATGGGGGTGATCAGAGGGCAGCAGGGAGCCCCACCCAGCCCTGACCCCCCAGAGCAGTTATGCACAGCGGAGCTGGATGGGCGGAGCTGACAGAGCCACCTGATGAAACCTGAAACCTCTCTGGGACCAAGAGACCTGGGTTCAAAGCCCAGCTCTGCATCTCTCCAGCTGTGATCTGAAACACATTTCACCCCTCTGAACCTCAGTATCTTCATCCTTTAATCTCCTCCCTCAACAGGTTTTTTGCAAATGAAGCAAGATTAGTTTAGGAAGTGCCTGGAATGTGTCAGCTCCATCCCCATCCAACCTATGGATTCTACGTGTGAAAGAACAGAGGCCCTGGGGGCTCAGGTGGCCAGCCCAGCGCCCTGTAGCACAGCCCACCTGCTCTGCTGAGACCCATGGCCTCTCCCACGAGCAGAGCCACGCTCATTGTGTGACCCCACCTCAACCTTTGACCTTAGTGCAGCCAAAACCTCGATGAGTAAACATCTACTGATGTCCCCCAGGGCAGGGTCACTAGGAAAGAGAGGCCTCTTCTGGTCAAGACTGACTCTTGTCGGTCTGTCTGTCACCATCTATTTTTTGCACATTTCAGCAACTCTCCTGGATTCCCTCCCCTGCCCCTAATCCTGAAGAGCAGGGAGCCCCACAGACTTGAATTCTAGACCCAACTTCCAAGCTGGGTGGCCCTGGGCAGCCCCAGTGTCCCTAGGTGAAATGGAGCTGAGTCATCCTGGGCCGCCCAGTTCATGCCTGAGCCCCGCCCTTGAAGCAGAACTCAGCACACAATTATTAAACCCCCAAACCTCCAACAGCTATGAGGAGGTTTCCCTGGAGGTTTGTGGGGAGACCAAGGAGAAAGGCGTTGTGCAGCAGACGGCGAAACTGTAGATTCTGTCGTTCGCTGTCCCGGGGTCCCTCAGGCCTCTCTCTGCCTCCCCCGTCCCACCACCGCACCTGAAAATATCGCCTCTTGCCCCAAACCATCCAGCTCTTCCCCCAGCTTACAGACCCCCCAGCCAAGCCAAAACTCAGCAGTTTTCTGTCATTCCTCAGGTCCTCCCGCGACACGGGGATTTCAAACACTTCCCAGCCTTTAAAATCTGATGATGCCAAATGGTTTCTCCTGCAACAGGTCTGTTTCCAATACTGGTCTGTGCCCAAGACCAATGGAACGGATGTTTATTGAACCCTGCTAGGCACCTTCACCTCCGTTCTGTCCTTTCTTCTTATTCGGGGCCACCTTGGGAGGTGGGAAACAGTATCTTCTTTTAACCACGGGGAAGCCAAGGTTCAGAGAGGTTAAGCCACTTATCCAAGGTCACACAGCTAATAAGTGGCACAGCCCTTTCTCTGGACTAAGCTGCCTCTCTCCAAAGATAAGTAAGGCATGGAGACGAGGGCCATGGAGATGAAGACATAAAAAGAATGTGATGTGAGAGTGGTGATCCCGACCCAACTGAGAGCTCCTGTTGAGGGCAAAGAGGGTGGCTTTTGTCTCTGTTTTCCCAGCATAGGTGTCAGAGTATGTTCATGGATTTGGCGAGGGTCCTTGGGGCTGGAGTCAGGGAGGCCTGGGGTTCAGCCCTGGCTCTGCCGTGAACTTGCTGTGTGACCTTCAGTAAGTTCGTTGGTCCCCTCTGGGGCTCAGTGTGGAATCAGAAGGTTGGACTGAATGACCTCATTACCCAGCAGCTCTAACATTTAAGGAGAATATAAAAGTGGTGGATAAACTCCACATGACATGGTTCTCAGCAGCCCGAGGTGGGGCGTGGGTCAGAGACTGGATGTGGAGGTTGCGTGACACATCGCAGGTCAGGGTAAGTAGGGAAATCCAGAGCAGAGGAAAACGCTGCCAGCACACTGACTCGAGCAGCAAATGGAGTTTGTGCGCAGTCCACCGGGCACTCAGCGCCTCCGCCCCAGGGCCTCGCTCAGGGAAATGGCGTGTGTGTGTGGAGTGTCTAACCTCCGTGTCTGCCTGTTTCTTCTCCCCTCTCCTGACTGGCCCTGGGGAGCAGCTGGGTGGGGCCTGCCTGCTGGGCATCGGCATCTGGGTCATGGTGGACCCCACCGGCTTCCGGGAGATCGTGGCCGCCAACCCCCTACTCATCACGGGCGCCTACATCCTCTTGGCCATGGGGGGCCTGCTTTTTCTGCTCGGTTTCCTGGGCTGCTGCGGGGCCGTCCGGGAGAACAAGTGTCTGCTGCTGTTGGTGAGTACCCCATCCTCCACCCCACCCATGGGTGCCCCGGGCTGGGTGTTGGGGGCCCTGTGTCCACACTACGGGGGACTCACACTGAGGTCTGAGCCAAGTAGGCCATCCTCCAGGAGCAGGAGGACCACCAGCCCTTCCTACATGCATCTGAGCTTGGACCCGTGCCTGCCGTGTGGGTGAGCTGCTCCCCCGTGGACAGCGGCCTTGGACTCCAGGTCTGAACAGCCAGGCTTCTCCAAGGCAGGGTCAGCTGAGAACGCTGACTCGTGACGCTTTCTACTTGCTTGTAAGACCTCGAATATATACCTCTGTGGTAAGAGAGCTAAGGTAGCTATCAGATAAATCATTCAGCTTTCGCATTTCCACTTCTAGAATAGAAATGATATGACCTCTGAGGGCCTTTATTCATTAAATAAACAGTCCTTGACCCACTATTACAGGCCACATAGGTCACTAGGTGCCATAGATGCATCAGGGGCCGAGTGGCCGTCCCCTCCCTGGTGGACAGGCTGGTGAGAGGCAGGCGAGCCCACGAGGATGAGCTGGGCAGGCCTGGGCTTGTGTGTGCGCTCTGCTCTGTCTCGTAACTAGTGATGTGACTCCGGTCTAGTTTCTTAACCTCTCTGAGCTTTCGTGTCTTCTCGTTAAGTGAGGGGCGAACCAGCTCAGCTATAGGTTGGAGCCGAACAAGACAAGCGGTGGATGTCCTGTTTCTCTGGTCTTCTGGGTTCACATGGGCTGTGGCCCTTTGGGCCTCTGCTTACTGCCCTGGCCTTGGTGATGGGGCTTCCTCTCCTATGAGGTCCTGTGCCCCCGCGGGCTAGGAAAACCGGGTAGAGCGCAGTCCTGCTGGAGGGTAGGTTAAAAACGGCCCAGCTTAGAAGCGTGTGCGTGGAAGGGCCAGCTTGCAGACGCTCCTCGTGGGTGAGCAGCTGCGTGGGTCGGGGGTTAAGTGATAGGGAGACATGGGCTGGTCAGTGACGTGGGCTTGCAAGGCGTCTGTCCACTCCTGCCAATGAGCCGGCGCCAGTGGCTTTGGGAGGCAGAGATCGGGCACAAATGCCTCCTCCCCAGATTAGAACAGACTGTCCACTCTCCATTCATGTCACAGATAGAAAGTGAAATCAGCTGTGATGTGTGTGACTCAGGCGCCCTGGGTCCCTCTGGCCTTGGGCAGCAGGGTAAGCAATGCAAACTTGCCTTCTGGAGAGAAACAAAGAAATCCGAGGGCGCCCCCTGGTGGAGAGCTCTGTACAGTGTCTGACGGTGCCGGGAAAAGTCTGGGCTTGGGGAGCTGGGGACTTTGAAAGGAGCTGAGTATGGGTCCCAGGACACACCAGAGCTCCCTTCCTACATCACTCCTCTGCCCACCTTGCATCTCAGCCCCCAGGGCTCATCCAACGTTAATGGGCTCATTCCTGAAGCCAAGACAGGAAGCGGGGCTGGGGCTCTGGGCCAGGAGCAGGCTGGAGGCCTCGCACGCCCTCTCGAGCTGAGTGGCTCCCGCAGAGCCTGCCAGCTGGACAACACGTCGCTCTCCCCAGGGCTTAGGGGAGAAGGCTGAGACCCCGGGGTAGGAGGAGGTTTGCCCCAAGTCCCCTGAGAGAGTTAAGTCCCGGCTGTGGCCGGTGTGCCCACCGAACCTTGAAGTCACCCCTTCCCATCCCCTCTTCTGCCTCCTTCCTCCCGTCTGTCTCTCTTCAGTCTCATTATGTGTGTTTCTCCCTTTCTTTTCTCGCTCTTTCTCAGCCTCTGTCTTCCTCTTGGTTTCTGTGCCTAATGCCTTTCCTTCCCCTTCTCCTGGACCACTCCCCCTCCCCCACCCGCCTCTGCCCCCTCTCCCTGCCTCTTTCTTTACTTACCCTGCTTCCTTTCCCCCTTCTCCTCTCCTCCCCCCTCTCCCCTTCCCCTCCCCTCCCCTCTCTCTCTCAGAACCCTAACACACATAACCCTGAGGTCACAGTGCAGGTCAAAGCCAGGGGAGTCTCGGACTCAGGTCTGCTGCCTCAGACCAGGGCTGATCCAGAGGTCCTAACCTGGAATGGACTCAAGTGATCCAGAACTCACCGCAAATTATGTGCAAAATATGCCAGGTTCTCCATGTGTGTGCCTGTACCTAGTGTATGTGTGTGTGGTATGCATGCCTGCGTGTTTCTAGGGCCACCACAGCTTCTGGAAGGTTTTCAGAAAGATTCATGAAACAAAGGAAGATCTGCTTTCTCTTCCAACCTGGACTCAGCTGTGTGGTGGTTCCAGCCGAAGAGGGGCCCCAGGTCTCACCCCTCCCGGCCACTGCATCCTTTTAAGAAGTCTGAGCCGCCTCCTTGCCCTTCAGGGAAGGAGGGAAGACTTATCTTGAGAGAAGCCAAGAGAGAGTGACTTTAGTCACCTCTGGAACTGTGGCTTAAAGGCTTGCAGAGAGAGGAGGCCTGGGGATAGGAGTTAGCTGGGCACCCCTCTGCCTCGCTCTGAGGCTAAACCCCAAGGGGTACCAGTGACCCTTAGCCTTGGAGACAGTGAGTCTAATGTCAGCTAACGATCAACTCTTCTAAAAACACATTTTCCAAACACTCCTGTTGATCAGTTTTACAGCATTTTCACGTGCCATGGAACAATTTCAGCCTATTGGTGAGATTGTGTGGCATCCCCTTTTTCCTAGTTGCCTACCTATAACTAGTTCGAGGAATGTTTTTAACCCATTTTTAGAAAGATTCACATTTTAAAAATATTTTATAACCAAGACCTGCTACATTGGAAAAGAGAACAGCAAAAAGAGATGAGTGTAATTGAAAAGTGATAAGTGAGCTGAATTGTTCATGAAGTAGGTAAATTTGCTAAATATTATCAGAAACGAGAACTAAAAGCTGACACGCTGGGCTTCCCTGGTGGCGCAGTGGTTGAGAGTCCGCCTGCCGATGCAGGGGACACGGGTTCGTGTCCCGGTCCGGGAAGATCCCACATGCCGCGGAGCGGCTGGGCCCGTGAGCCATGGCCGCTGAGCCTGCGCGTCCGGAGCCTGTGCTCCGCAACGGGAGAGGCCACAACAGTGAGAGGCCCGCGTACCACAAAAAAAAAAAAAAAAAAAGAGGACACAAAAGTGAGAGGGCTGGCTTGCACAAAAAAAAAAAAAAAAAAGCTGACATGCTGTAGGCAGATGGCTTAGAAAAGTCTGGAAATGCTCACAAGTAGGCAAAAGAGCAGTTTTTACCCCTTGATTAATTTTCTGAGCCTAAAAGTGTGATAAGTGTAAGTTCAAGAATTACCGGCAAATGTGTCCAGTAAGTTCAGGAATTACTGGCAAATGTGTCCTTAGGCAAATGGGATGAGGTCACATTAACTCAAGGCAAGCAAACCCTGGGAAAGGCCCTGGTTAGGCGAAGCCCCAGGCAGCATCAGCCCTGTGGCCAGGTCCAGGAGGAACGCCTCCAAATAACCAGTAGTAACCCTGTCAAGCAGGAGAAAACTATTTCATGCCGGAGAAGTTAGCAGAAGTGACGTTGTTACCGATGTTGGCCCCAAAGCCCTGCACTTTCCTTCAGGTGACTTAAACTCACACACTCCTGTTATCCCTCAGTCCCCATGCTTGGGGAGACCTGCTCCAGGCAGGAGCAATGGCCAGGAGATCTGCAGACCCCCTTCCTCTGGGGAGGCCCGCTTTCCCCATCAATGAGTGAGTTACCAGGTTCATTCTTTAATTTCATCTCATGAATCTTATGTTTTTCATCTCATGAATTTCATTTCATGAATCATGAACCTTGGCTCAGTGGAAACTCCATGAGGATGGGGACCACATCTGCCTTATGTGTATTGGTTTACCAGTGCCTAGCACAGTACCTGGCACAGCATAAGTGCTCAATAAGCAGCCCTAGAATGAAGGAACAGAGAGGAGGTGGTCTCAGAGGTGTGGGTAAGAACATGGGCTTTGGAGTCAGGAAAACTTTGTTCTAATCCCTGCTCTGCCACTTCCTGGCTGTGTGACCTGGGGTCAGTTACTTAACCTCTCTGAACTTCAGGTTCCTCATATGTAAAATGAAGCTAATAATACCTCCTTCCCAGACATAGTGTTGTGATCAGAGTTCAGTAAGAAAATATGCATCTTGTTTAACTCTGTTCCTGGCACATATAAGCATTTGATAAATGTGAAAGCAAAAGGATTGGTGTCGATCCCCAAGAGATCCTGCAGGCCATCTGAAAGTCTTAAGATTCGGAGGCTCTTCTGGGTTCCAGGATAACATGGTGTTAGGAGGCTGTGTTCTGGAATCAGAGTTCCTGTGTTTATCCATCTGAGCCAGCTTGGTCAAGTTCTACCCTCTCAGGGTTCCAGTTTCCCCATCAGTAAAACAGAGGTGTTGTTGATAATAGCAGCTGCTACTCCAGGCTGCCCAGAGGGTTCAATGAAATCACCCATGTAAGAGCCACAGTGCTTAGGTGTTAAGCATCCCATAGATTGTAGCTATTGTTGTTTTCCCGGAGATCGCCCACGCTGGCCCTTGTCTTCAGGAAGGCCATGCTTCCTCTTGGTTCTGAGCCACCATCTGAGCCGTGCTCACATCGTGCCAGCCTCGTGCACAGCGCTGCACCTGCATCGTCTCGCTGACACGGTGCTAAGTCCCCTGGAAAGCACACGCAGGCTCCCAGAGTTATGAGCACGTGGAGTTCCCGAGTTCTGTCTCATCCATAGTTTATAACTGTCTAAGCCGAGGTTGACAGGCAGAGACAGCTCAGTCACGTCGCTGGGGTGGAAACCATTTCGGAGGCCGCTCTTTGCCAGCCTGAGGACAGCCAGCAACTCCACCGCAAGGGCAGAGGGTGGGGCGGGGCTCCGTGGAGGCCACGTGAAAGAGAACTGGATGACCGTCTGTCACCAGCCAAATGGAGATGCCAGGAGCCCTGCCAGGGCCCTCCATCACTGTCACAGGGGTAAGAGGCTGCAGAGGTGGGGAACATACCTCTCAGCCCAAGGACGAGCTTGTGGAAGTGGAGGGGGATGGGATGGCCATCGTGGCCAGGGGCAGCCTGCCCGGGGATACAGGTGTCCCTCTGTCACTCTCCTTTCTGGTTAGGGAGCTCTGACTCCCAACCTCAGTCCAAGGTCACCCCACACAGCTGACTACAGCAAGCCTGCCCCTGACCTGCTGGAACCAGAGCCCCAGGGTTCAGAAGAGCCACTTCCAGGCCAGCCCTGAACTGTGCTCTTCAGCAGAGAGAGAGAAGGGGTAGCGTGGTGCTCTGAAAGGAGCTGGATTAAGAGGACAGGATGTGGTCTCAAATTTTTGAGCTGCACACCTTTGGAAAGGAAAGTTTTTCTCCTTCTCTGGCTTGTTTCCTCCCCTGTGGAAATGGGGGCTAAACAGAAAAGAGACCATGGGACAGGTGTCGGGTTCTGACGCCAAGCAAGCCTCTATGAGACCAGAGACCATGGGCTTGAACCTAGCGAGACCTCTCCCCCACCCCCGGCCCCTGTGGGTAAGGAGTGAACAACGCACGCCTTGTGCTGGCTGATCTGTTTAAGCCAGGGGCTCTCCTTGGGTTTGGACATTGAAAAAAACAAAACAATGCCTTTGGCAGGTCTAGGAGATGTTTCATGTCTGCATCCTGGACGGATCGTCTCACCCTCCGTCCTAAGCTCTCCCCGAAAGCAGTCCTCAGACCAAGGAGTTTGGAGAAACCGCGGGACCTCTATGGGGCAGCTGCTGTCAGCGCTGAAAAGTCAGGGAGGGTATATGACCTGGGGTCTTCCTGGGATGAGGATAAAGTGACTGGAAGAGACAGGATCCAGGAGAGAGACAACCCTGTTGGCTCCAAAGATGGACTGTTGGTGTGTTTATTATGAAAAATGTCTGGCTTACGGCAGTTAAGTTCCTCAGTCTCTCAGAATCAGTACATTGTGTCAATCGTGTGACCTATGGAAGGGTGCCTCGGCAAGCGGTCACCTGCCCCCTTCCCCCGCCCGCCCTCGGGGCTCATGGGCCTGCCGCCTTCTCTCTGCAGTTCTTCCTGTTCATCCTGATCATCTTCCTGGCGGAACTCTCGGCGGCCATCTTGGCCTTCATCTTCAGGGAGAACGTACGTACTGGGCCCCGTGTGCTCCGGCCCCATTCATGGCCAGCCCCTCCCTCCCCAGAGGGTCTCACAGAGTCAGTGCCCTCTCATCCAGTAGTTCCAGCCCAAATCACAACCCACCGGCCCAGCAAGGCCCCACAGCCCAAAGAGAGACCCCAGTGAGCCTCTCTCTGCAAGGGCTTTTCCAGAAGGTCAGAGTCAGAGGGCCCTTAAGGGTCTCTGCTCTTGCCAGGCATCTGGTGCAACCCCGCACCGGTTCTAGAATCTTCCATTCCACACCTTGCCCAGCTGTGGCCCAGCAGTAGTCATCTGACAGTCTGAGGATAGTCAAAGAGGCTATCCCTTGGGGCTTCCCTGGTGGCGCAGTGGTTGAGAGTCCACCTGCCGATGCAGGGGACACGGGTTCGTGCCCCGGTCCGGGAAGATCCCACATGTCATGGAGCGGCTGGGCCCGTGAGCCACGGCCGCTGAGCCTGCGCGTCAGGAGCCTGTGCTCCGCAGCGGAGAGGCCACAGCAGTGAGAGGCCCGCGTACTGCAAAAAAAAAAAAAGTCTGTCCCCCCAGCACAGAATGTGTGCCATGTGGGAGAACAGGACAGAGCCCTCTTGGACGAGGCCCTGGCAAGTATGAAATCTGCGCAACTTGCCCCTATAGACCATATTATCAGAGGCTCCAACCACCCGGGTCCCCGCCCTTCCCTGCAGCAGGGAGCAGGGTCCTACCTCTCACACGGTGGCTTCTTCAGGGCCTGGGACGCAGCGCATCCACTTGGCTCTGTCTGAGGAACAGCTCAGGGCGGCGGGTGGCGGCGGCATGAGGGGGCGAGCGCCCCACTGTGGACCAGACCTCCCTCTGGGAGGAGCTGCAGGGACGGTGGAGGTTCCCAGGTGGCCCTGGCGTCAGGCTCGCCGAGGCCCGTGTGGGTAGACTGCGTTTTCATGTCGGGGATCTGATGATGCAGGGAGGCCACAGGTCCTGGGGTTGGAGGTGAGGGCCTGCCCCAAGTTAGCTGCTTGGGAGGAGGGTCACTGGCACCAGGACGCTGAGGCCTTCCCCCTCCGTCCCCCGGAGCAGGTCGCTGGAGAGGCCAGGGAGGGGAGCTGTATCAAGCTGCTGTAGACCTCAGTCTGCCCCCTCCCTTTGCCTCCAGCTCACCCGCGAATTCTTCACCAAGGAGCTCACCAAGCACTACCAGGGCAACAACGACACAGACGTCTTCTCTGCCACCTGGAACTCGGTCATGATCACAGTGAGTGGCCCCAGGGATGCTGGGAGCATTCAGAGCCCTGATGCCCAGTGCAGCCAGTGTCTGGCCTCCAGAGCCCGCCTTGTTTACGTGTCTGCACAGACATCAGTAATCAATCAGGCACTGATCCACCCAGCCCGGACCGGGCCTCAGAACCCTCATTCGCACAGCTGGCAGCCGCTGCCCATGCCTCACAGTCCAGACTCGGGAGGAAACCTGTTTGCTCTCCTTGTCTTGAGTCCTCGAGCAATTGTAACGGTCATCGATGATAGTAATCATAGCAACTATTTATTGAGTGCTAAGTGCCGGTGAGGTAGGAATGGTTACCACCACCCTCACTTTACAGATGAGGACGCTGGAGGCTCAGAGAAGCTGAGTGACTTTCCCACGGTTGCACAGGAGGAGCAGCCAACCCACACCTGGGTCTTGACTCTGCTCCCGCCCGCTGCTTCACGGTGGCCTTTGAAGTGACTGTGTGTCTCTGCACCCTCATACCTGGGTCCAGCTCCCATCCCCCCTTCTCTTTGCTCTCCTCCTAGTTTGGTTGCTGTGGGGTCAACGGGCCTGAAGACTTTAAGTTTGCATCAGTTTTCCGACTCCTGACTTTGGACAGTGACGAGGTGCCGGAGGCCTGCTGCCGGAGAGAACCCCAGAGTCGGGACGGGGTCCTGCTGAGCAGGGAGGAATGCCTCCTGGGAAGGGACCTGTTCCTGAACAAGCAGGTACCAGGCCCCGCTCCCCCAGGCAGGGGAAGCCTGTCCATCGGGGCTTGGGTGGCCAGAGCTGGGTGGGTGACAGTTTGGGCCCTGAAGGTCTGAAGGCACTGAGGGAATCCCATGGAAATGTTGGCTGTGATATGGGACTCCTGAACGGGGGCTGAGGAAGGCTCAATGCGTGCTCCTGAGATCCAACCAAAAGGGGGAAAGGATGAGAATGTCAGACAGTCCATCAATGGCCGTGAGCATTCAGAGCCCTGATGCCCGGTGCAGCCAGTGTCTGACCTCCAGAGCCCGCCTTGTTCGCATGTCTGCACAGACATCAGTAATCAATCAGGCACTGATTGAGGAGTGGGCCTTTTGGCTGGGGTTCAGGGGTGACTAGGAGTTTTCCAGTGTTCCAGGTAGAACACTCCCTGAGCTTCTGGTAATGCAGGTGTCAGGAGCCAGAAGGAGAATGACACAGTGGGGGCCCCTCCTCTGCTGTGCATTTTATTTGGAGGGAAGCTCACCTTTGCCATGTGGGAGCACCTCCGGATCCCACGGGAGCAGGGTTTCCCTGACCTTCGTCTCCAGAGTCTGGGAAGCTCCTAGACTTCTTGGCTTCTTTTACAACCCAAGGACTTCATCTCGGTCTCAGAAGAAGCCCTTTCCCTTCCTGTGTGCGCCACCTCTGGGGGCTGCAAGGGCACCTGCTTTGCCCCCTCTGTGAGGCAGACAGTGCCCTAGACCTTGATCCCCTTCCCACTGACCAGTCCCCATACGCCTCAGGGGTGTGTGTGAGACCAGGCTAGGCAGAGCAGTGGGGGGAGAATGAGGGTGACCTGAGCCCCACACCTCTCGCTTGGTTCGGCCTTTGATGAGGCTCTCATGGCAGAGTGCCAGGTGCAGGGGACACAGCAGGGGACAGCAGACAAGACCCCTGCTCCTGCCGGGCTTACAGTCTGGTTAGAGGAAGCAGACGATAAGCGAGCAGCCAACACATCGCAAGTCATAATTTCACATGAAATGATAATTTTACTCTAAAGAAAATAAAACTGGATGATGGGCTAGAAGGGACTGGGGTGGGACGGGGGCGAGACTCAAGCCTGGCCTCTTAGAGTCCCGGGGGTCGGGGGGGGGGGGAGTTGGGCTGCGGCCTGACCCCGACTGTCTGATGAGACTCTTTCCAGCCTCAGCTTCGCCTCGTGAACTCAGCACCCTCCTCCCCTGCACTTGCTCATGTCATGTCCAAGGACCCATCAGGCCCCAAAGCCACATTCCTCTACCCCTTATGGTCCGGCCTCCCTGCACTGGGGGAAAGAGACCTAAATAAAGAAACAAAGGTCCTGGAATCAGGCTGCCGTGAGCTGGGGGCAGGGGCAGCGCCCCAGGAGTTAGGTCTCAGCCGTGAGGAGAGGCTGCAGGGCGTGGGGGGATGTTTCAGGCTGTGATGTCAGGCAGACCTGGGCTGTGAGCAGCTGTGTCACCTTGGCCAAGACACACGCTCCGGACCTCAGATTCCCGACACAGTGGCAGAGACTGCTGGCTGCCATGCTCGGTTCATTTTTCCTCCTTGGAAAGAGGAGGTTTAGAGACCCCATGACCACCAGGTAAAGCCCCCCTTTCCAGCCGCCCTTGCAGCTAAGCCATATGACCCAGTTCTAGCTGAAGGGAGGTGAGCAGAGGTGATCTGTGCCACGGAGTCATGTCCTTAAGAGGAAGCACTGTGCCTGCCCCTCCTTCTCCCCCCCGCCCAACCCCTGGCTGGTGGTGACAGCCATCTTGGTGACAGCTGTGGTGACAGCCACCTCAAACCTTGCAGAGGAGGGTGGCCCCCTAGAACGTCAGAGCATCAAGGCGCCTGGGACACTGACAGCTCCATGGAGCAGAGCAGCCAGCACAGCTGGGGGTTGATAAAGACAAACAAACTTCTACCGTTAGGACTGCCTGCTGCCCACTGCTGAGCTTCTATCCTAAGGCCACTTGTGAAGTGTTCAGGGAGGCTTCCCATGGGCCCTGTTCTGTTAGGGCTCCATCCTGACATGCTTCCCATTTCTGGATTCATCCGCCATTATGATGCCTCCTTCCGTCTCCTGGGTATGGCTTTGAAATTGAAGTTCATCAGAGAGATCCCTGTGCGGCTACATTAGTTCTTTACGATGACTCTTCCCCTGTTTCTCATGAGGATTCCCAGAGATTGACTCCTGGGATTCCTTTTCTGAGACACTAGCATCCCTCCTGAGCATTCTTTTAAAAGCCTCTGCGGAGGGACTATTTCTATTTGATTTTTCTCCAAAGCCCACTTCCCTGAAGCCCAGGATGCATTTCTGAATTTGCCTCACATCCTCATCACACTTCTGAGTCAGTGAACAACATGGTTGATTCCAAGTAACTGAAAATCTAAACTAAAAGGGTTGAAGCAAATGGCAAGAATTCTGGAAGACAGTGTCTCCTCATATTCATCAGTGGCCCCGTCATGTCAATCAAGGCCTAGTCTCTGTGATCCTTGTGGCCTTTCTTTGTGCTTAGTACTTCATGGTGGCAAAATGGCTGCCACGGCTCCAGACATCCCACCCATGTTGAAGACAGGAAGAAGGTGGCACCAGCTTCTTTCCCAGAAACCCCCATCAGACTTCTGCTTCGGTCTCACTGGCCAGGACTCAGTCATATGGCTGTCAGGAGCTAAGGCAGTGTGCACTCATCTATGGGTGTTGAGTTAGTCCACCAGCCCTGTTTATCACTGAGTGCCAATGAAGAGAAATCAGGAAATCCCCAAAGGTGATCCATGATGAATAACCGGGCTCCTCCATTGGTATGAATTGAATCCACCATGGCAGCTTCTCCTGTTCATTCCTCAGCCTTCCCTGGGTCAAAATAGTCACCCAGGCAAGTCAAGAATGTATTCCCCTGCTGGAAAAAAAAAAATATCAGGGAGTGTGCCAGGAGATGGTGATCTTGCTAGACCTTGACTCCAGGCCAGTATGGTGGCCACCAAGAGGAAAGCATCCATTTTTCCCACTTGTCAGGGTGGTCCTAAGTGTTCTCTCCCCACAGCATCGCTGTTTCTCTGCTTTATCCTCAGTGCTCCCCACCCGCTTCCTGGTGGGTTGTGACTGTGGGTGCAGCTGTGTCTCCTCTAGACATAGAGTACTACACTCTCATCCTCCTGACGAGGGAAGAGCACTCCAGCCAGAGAGTGAGCGCAGCCTGTTCAAAGGCCCTGGGGTAGGAGGGAGCATGGTGTGTTCCAGGGACCAAGAGAAGGCCAGTATGTCTGGAGCACAGTGAATGAGGCAAGACTAGCTCAAAGCGAGGGTGTCAGCAGGGCCAGACCATGCAGTGCTGACGGGCCCATGGCAAAGATGCTAGAAGAGCAAAGAAGCCCACGTCGAGTTCTACGTGGGGTTGTGGCCATGTTGGCACCCTGGCTGCTCAGCGACCAGGGGTTAGAGGCGGACCTGAGTGAACAGGATGGATTTTTACACTGGTCCCAGTGAGAAGCAATGCTGGGTTAGACTAGGATGGTGGCAGTGGAGACGCAGAGAGGTGTACGGATCTGAGGAATGAATCAGGAGGTAACATGGTGGTAGGCCGACTTTGGGGAAGGCAGGATGAGGCGGTGATGAGGGGGACTCCACAGGTCCTGGTTTGGGGGAAGATCTCAGATCTGGTCTGAGGCAAGCTGAGTGTGAGGTGCCTTTGGGGCCTCCAAGCAGTGGTAGCCAGCGGACAGTTGGACTTAGAGGGCTGGGGGGAAGGTCCATGCTGGACGTATAAATGTGGGTGGCCTTCGTGCCGGCACCTCTGGCCTAGCTGCCCTCTGTCAGATTAGGTTGGGGGGGGCGACTGGTCGGGAGCCAGGGGTGGGAGGATGTTCTCTCTCTGCAGAGACGGAGGATGGGTGCTGGCGACAGCGGCACAGCTAGGGGACTCACAGTCTGTGGTGGTAGCCTGGGGAGAGATGGTCCCCTGCAGCGTCTCGCTGGGCAGGGTCAGGATAAGGGGTGGGCATCCATCCTGAGGGTGAGGAAGAGGTGATACCCCGGGATGTAGGCAGCTCCGGGCCCTGAGCCAGGGACCCCGCCTGGGTGAGCGAGAACCGAGGCTTCCTGGTGCAGCTCCTGGGAGCTTGGAGTTCCCTCAGTGTAAATACGCTTCGCTGCCTCCTTGGGTGTGACCTTGAGCACGTAGTCAGCTGCTCTCTCTCCTCTTTCCTCTTCCCTGAGGGGCTGGAATGGGGACTGAGTCGTAACAAGCACATGAGGCCACTGCAGAGCTCCGGCCAGGGCGGACACTCGCTGAGTGTTGGCGGCATCTTCCGTTCACCCCCTGCCCTCACTGCTCCCTCCGAGGGCGTCTCAGTACCAGGGCCTCCATCAGCCAACTGGTCTGCTCGATTCAGCCCGGGGACCCAAAGGGTCTTTGGAGCCACAGCCCAACAGAAGGCAGATGAGCAGTTAAGGCCCAGGTACCTCATCCACAGCAGATGAGGGGAGCAGGGACATCTTCCCTCTGGGGACAACTCCCACCCACCGGCCCGGGTGAGGCACATAAAATCAACTTCAAGTTCAGGAAGGGATTCACTGCTCCTCCTGTCCCCTTGTAGTATAGGGGTGTGTGTGTGTGTGTGTGTGTGTGTGTGTCTCGTGCACGGATCCCCAGGGCATGAGTGTGTGTATGTGTGTGTGTGTCTCATGCATGGATCCCCAGGGTGTGTGTGTGTGTATGTGTGTGTATGTGTGTGTGTGTGTCTCGTGCACAGATCCCCAGGGCGTGAGTGTGTGTATGTGTGTGTGTGTCTCATGCATGGATCCCCAGGGTGTGTGTGTGTGTATGTGTGTGTATGTGTGTGTGTGTGTCTCGTGCACGGATCCCCAGGGCGTGTGTGTGTGTGTGTGTGTGTGTGTGTGTGTGTCTCGTGCACGGATCCCCAGGGTGTGTGTGTGTGTATGTGTGTGTATGTGTGTGTGTGTGTCTCGTGCACGGATCCCCAGGGCGTGTGTGTGTGTGTGTGTGTGTGTGTGTGTGTCTCGTGCACGGATCC